CTTGTTTTTTTTTTTTTTTTTTTTTTGATATGCTGTGGAGGTCAACAATTATCATTAGCACAATATTATCACAATTGTATATATATATATATATATATACATGCCTACATTTGTGCCAACCATAAACTTGCTGCAGTAAAATAAACTTTCATTGAATGATCTCAAATTAAGTCAAAGGTTAAGGTTGCCCAAGCATTTATATGGTTAAGGCTCATATTATTAAAGAAAACTAGTAGTACAGACTGAGTGTATATCTAATCAATGACTAAATGTAAGGCCATTGACATAAAATTTGTCGAAAAAAGGCTACCAAGATCATTAGATTACAGCGTAGCCAATTTTAAGCCCACTACCCAATCCATCAAAGGACGTTGATGCATAAATAGCAACAAATACTCATGAAATACTGGAAAACCAAAAACAATTGTGCATGGAGTAAGAATACTTGAGGTATGCATATTCAAACCTTAGGAAGCATGCCTTTATCAGAATTACAATCTTTGGGAGAGCAATAAGAGTTAGTTTCATGTACAGATGAGTTATCAGGAAAAGCTGCTCCACCATGTGCATTAAGCAGCACACAATAGCAATGATCTGATTCTGACAAAACCTAAGAAAGTTAAATTATGTTAAATAATTTATTTCTCAATTTATTGGCAAGTATTTAAAGACTTTAAACTGGAAAAGAATGCCAAGATCAACATCAAGTAATTACTAAAATAATGAATAAAATCATGTAAAAATACAGTTCAGAATCTGCAAACTAGCAACAAAACACAAATCCATGTAAGGGATGGACGGAAGGCATGTCAAACTTATAGCTTGACAAAACACAAGTCTAGGGTATGGAAAAATATGTGGAAAGCTTTGCTAGCAAATGGGAAAGGAAGCGTCTTACAACAGCATCAAAAGTGTCATCAAAATCATCAATTGCAAAGCAAATATTAGGGTAGGCGGGCAGAGTTTCCACAGCCTGAAAACAAAATGACAATCTTAGAAAAGAAAAACATAGGTAGTATAAGCTTCAAATGGTTTATACATGACAAAGAAAAGGAAGCCAGCCAACCTTTTTAAAGCCCAGTTGAAAGTTGACACGGCTAGGAGATGCATAGACAGTCTTCACAACCTGTAATAGAGCAAGTGGCAAGTCCTATTACAACATACAGAAGTAAGGACAGAGCATCACCCCATCGCAGCCCTAAGAGCATGAGTCAAACGTACATCAAAAAGAACTTGAAAAAAAAAAAACTAAAAGTTTCGAGTCATTGGTTGGAAAATCATCAAGAGTATGTTATCTAGTTCAGCAGGTACTTAGAGGACAAGTACATATTTACTACAGACAAGAAGTACAACTTGAGATGCATTAAAATACAATGGAAAGAACCATGTAGAAAAATCCCCAATACATCAAGATTTAAAATCAGGAAGAGTCTCGTTTAAGCTAGGTGTATTGAAGGTGATTAAAGGGTGTGTTCTGGTGCAACGATAACATTGTAATTGACAAATAGTCCCTTGAAGTAGAGTAAAGTTTTGAGTATAAATCCAACTTGCACATTGTAATTGACAAATGCATTTTCTGTTCTGTATGCCTTTTTAGGTTTCAGCTGGATATTGCATCATTACAAACATTGGGCTACTACTTAACAAGAAAAAGAAAGACTGTAAAACGCCACACCAAATGCAACAAAAAAACCATCTCATTCATCTTCCTCGAGAATGATATTCCATTCTTTATCACATAATTTCACTACCATCTGTACTTACACCGCCAGACAACAAAGGCCTCCTTCAATGGTATAAAGCATAACTTGTTTTAGCTAACGTTGCTTCAATTACAAGAGATAACTAGATAAGAATGATTAATGTTCAAAATACATCTAAAATCTAATAAAATCAAGTGAAAATTAATCCACTTAAGGCCTTCTATACAGCCAATATATTGCTTAGGCAACATCTTCTGATATTTGCACAGCCAAATTCGCTAAAAAAATTCCAGCAATGATCTCCAAGGCAACGATCAGTAACTTCATTTGTTAGATAAAAGAGCAAGCCCGCATAAACCTTCATCACCATCAGGAAACTCATCCAAACGGTTAGTGGTTAACTAAATGAACCTTGTTTAAGCAGCACTGGATCAGTGCTTGTAAGAAACATATACGGTGTTAATCCTAACTTGATCGTCCAAAGTCATAATCCCCCCACTAGATCTACTCAAGCAAAAACCTTTAGACTCTAAGATTGGCCTCCATAATTCAAATTTTCCTTCAACTCCATCTCGTCTTATCAACAAGAAGAATATCATCAGCAAAAAAGCATGAATCCAAATTGATTTTAAGAAACATTAATATCACATCATAACCTATGCTCAATTACTCTCTCCCATAGTTTTAATGTATGACACAACTTAATTCTTCAATAATTCGCACACCCTTGTGAATCACATTTATTCTTAAAAATATGAATCAACACAGTCGTCCACTCATCTGTTTTTTTTTTTTTTTTTTTGCTTCAAAATAATATTAAAAAGTTTAGTAAGCCCACAAATTTCTTTATCTCCTATGCATTTCTACACCTCTATTGGAATATCATTAGGTCTAACTGCTTTTTCACACTTCATTTTCTTCTAAGTCTATGTAACTTTGATTTTATTAATATGATGAAAAAAATTAAAATCTTTATTTTTGTTTAGAAACCCTAAACCCTATTGCTAAGGTCACAAAAGTCAATCATATTCTCACAAGCAACATTAAAAAGCTTATCGAAACATTTCATCCACTTATATTGAATATCCTCTTATAATAAAAACACATTTTTGATCTTCATAGTTGATGCACTTCACTTGAACAAGATCCTTCTCATATCTTTTTACTTAACTAACTTATGCATACATGTTTCGCCCTTCTAGCATCTAATCTATTATATAAATCTTTAAAAATCAAATTCTTTGTATCGCATATTGCCTTATTAGACTCCTTATGAGAACCTCTATATCTTTCTTAATTTTCTAAGCTTTTACATCTAAAAAAATTATAAAAAATATTTTATTTTTAATCTTTTTTTGCATATTTTAATTTCACCACTAACTATTTTTGCTATTAGGAATTTTTTCTTTTGATACTCCAAGCACATACTTTAGAAAATCTTAATATCACTAATTACTTTTTTCAATATAATATTAATTTCCTCATACACAATCGAAAACTTGAGATCTTAAATCTTTCCCTAAAAAATATTTTTGTTCGCATTCTTTAAATCTCCTCATCTAATCCTAAAACAATATTTTACTTTATTATTTATATTCCGCTCATTTAGTGGTGTCAAAATGAATTTTTGAGTCGGGTTCAAATCCATCCCAAAACGGACCTGCATTCAACTAAATCCAACTAGAACCTGAACCGATTAGGCAAATAGGTCAAGAATTCAGACCCCGACCTGACCCGATGGGTTTTCAGGTTGACCCAACCCACTAACCAAGGTTTCAACTTTCGGGCAGGGCGGGTGCAAGGTGCGCGATGCGCGGGGACGAGGGGCAACAGCAAGCTGCACGATGCGAGAGCGAGTGCGGGGTGCGAGCGCGGTTGCAGGATGTGCGTGCTGGTGAGGATAGTGGCCTGCAACCATGCGGGGTGGAGCGCGCGTGCTCGGTGCGAGCAAAGCATGGTTGGGTGCAGCATGAGTAGGGTGTGAGTGCGGTGTTAAGAGTGCGAGCGATCGCACGTTCTGGGGGCAACACGAGCGTGGTTGAGTGCAGGTTGCGAGTGTTGTGCGGGGTGCTAAATCGAGAAGAGAACAGTCATCCGTCACCCACCTGGGTTGCATTAGGGTCACCTTCGGGTTTTCGGGTCAACCCAAACATGACTCGGTTTTAAAAACGGGTCATAATCTTGAATCAGAACCCGACCCGTCTGGCAAATGGGTTAACGTGAACCCAAAATTTTTCAGGTCATGCCCGAATCGGGTCAAATATTGGCACCCCTACGCTCATTCATCTTGAAGTCTAAAACTAATAAGGGATGTTTGGTACATTAATTTTCACTTGAAATAACTTTATAATCTTTGCAATCTAAACAATTTATTTTTCTTATAAAAAAATAATCAATCAAAGGTTTGTAATATTCATTACTATAAGTGATAAGATACTCCTCTATTTTCTTAAATAAGATATTAGCAATTATAAAATTATAAGCTACAGCAAAATCTAATATAATCCTACCGACTTCATTAGTCGCTCTAAACTCATAGACATCATGAATATTTTTTTAATTTTCTACCACTATACCAACATGTCTATTTAAATCTTCTCCAATAAAAAGTCTTTCTTTAAGAGGTATCATTTATATTAATTATTTTAAGATTTCAAAATTTTAATTTTGAATACATATACAAACCTACATGAGGAACTTAAGCGCTTATAAGATTATTAATTTTAGTATCAAGAATAATCATCAAAGCTATAATTTTATCTCAAATTCTATTAATTTCTATAACATTATCTTTCAAACTCTCGTCTATAATCATACCTACATCATTTTTAGAACAACTCATATATGAATACCATAGTTTAAATCCTAAACTATCAATCTTTTTAGCCTTCTCTCGAACCCTCCAACCCATTAAGTTTTCTAAATGCATAGAATATTTATCTTCCTATAAATCATGATATCTATTAATTTTATTAATATGTTTTAAGAGAACCTATATTCCAAGTTATTATCCTAATTCTAGTTTCATAGACTAGTCTTTTTTCTCACATCAGTCCATGAAGTGGGAACCCTTACTTATTTAACATTGCACTCAAGCATCAGTCTAGCGACCCTAGCACACGTCTCATTATATTCAAGAAATACAGTGTATCGCTTCTAGAGAACACCCTAGCATTAACATAATGTATTAAGTGATTTATGTCATAATTGTTTAAAAAGTTTTATGCTAGTTGTCGACTACCTAATACAACCTTTGCTTATTTTTTGAAATATATGAAAAGTTAAGATAGTTAAGAAAATTAGAAGATGCAAGGCTTAGGATTAGTAGAATGAAAATGGGATAGTGATATATAATTGTAATGGGCATTATATTAAACATAAAAAATATACCTTTTTGAAATGGTTATGAAATGCTTACAAAGAAAATTCAAGTTGAGGTGCTTCGGTATATGATAATAGCATTCTAATCAGTGAAATATTTACTAAAATAAGTGAAATTTAAAATAACAAAAAGTATTCAAAAAATAGGAAGACTTAGCATTATAAGAAAAAAATACTCAATATCTACTATATAATCATTGTGGGTATGAATTAAAATTTATTAGTCAATATTATTAGAAAATCAAGTAATATTTAGTAATGATACCTTTTGGTATACTAGATCAATTATATAAAAGAATAAAGATATATATTAGGATTTAAATTTTAAAATTAAGATTTGCTAAAAAACAAAGTATCTTGAGAGCATTTTATGACAAGAAAATATTACAAAGACTTCACGATAAATTTTATTAAGAGAAAATGACCAAAATAGTCACTTGACTATTCATGAAGAACCAAAATGTTGCCCAACTATATTAAAGGACGCTCCCTCAACTCCTTAAAGGACCATTTAATCGCTCAAATCTTTAGAAATGAATCAAAATATTCCCTTAGCGGGATTATTTTGGTTCCTCTTTAAAGAGTTGAGAAACCAAAATGGTCATTTAATACAATTGGGGACTAATTTGGTCTTTCATGAAGAGTCAATAGACCATTTTGAGTCCTTTTTCTCATTTGATTAAATAACAATTAGGTCCATTATATTATATGGATATGACATATGGTGTTTGCAATGAAATATCATTGATAGCCAAGTAGGACAAAGCGAGAATAAGAATGTTAAGATAAATGACTAAAAATGATAGATCAAAGATAAATTATATTAAATGAGCATTTGGATAAAATTTATTAAATATAAGGTGGTGAGAAAATGAATATGTTACTTTAAACATGTAGCAAGAAGTATCCAAAAAGCAACAATATGAATAGAATGATAAAATTAGCAACACAAGTTCAAGAAAAAAATGAGTGGACCAAAAGTAACATAGATAGAATTTGCCAAAAAAAAATTCCAACAAAATAATTTTAAAACCTCATACAACACTTATCAAGATTAAATGGAAAATGATATTCATCAAGCCAGTTCTTCTCCTCCTCATTATCATATTTCCCCAATTTTCATTCATTTATGTTGAGTTTTGTTTGATGCGTTAAACTTATTTTGGGTAAATTTGTTTGCAAAAGTTTTATGATCCATTGTAAATAAAAGAAAAAAATTAGTATGCAACAATGAAGCTTGGCTACATATCAAAGCTGATAACGGATGGATAAAACTGTGGTCCATCATGAGTTCGCAATCTAAAATTAAAGGCGTGACAATGATAATTTTATAACATATTTTTAAAAAGGTTTCGATTACTACCTTTACATTCAGACAGCAATGACAATGAATCATCGGATTTTGCACACTCAGAAAATAAAGGGCAACGATGGAAAGGTAATGACAACCTCAAAGACAACAAACCAACCCAATAAAAGATCCAGGGTACACCATGAACAGAAAGAATTAACCTCCATTTACCTTGTATATAGGAGATAATGATGTATCCTCCCCACTTTGGTAGCTGCGTAGAGCCTGATTGCTGCGGAAGCCAGTTATATCAGAATCTTTATTATTCAAAACTTAATTAAAAAGATAAACATACAAAATTATAAATGAATACAAAACTAACTTTGGCTAACGAAATAAATTCAAGGCTAGCATAAGACTCGCATTCTAGCAACAAGCAGCTAGAAGTGCAGTCATCACAGGAATCATAAGCAGCAACAATAGCAAAATTTACAGAGCTGTTCGAGTTTAGATTAAAAAATATTTTTACATCATTATTTTCTGCTAAATAATGTATCATATTTCAGCATCAGAATTCAAATTTATTTGCAAGATCCAAATCGATTTTAGTTATAGACTACATGTTCTCCCTATTAACAGAGAATATTTCTGACTACTCGGATGAGCAGTGAGCAAAAGAAATCAATTACAGAGTTTGAATGTCAGACAGGAATTCCTCTAATTCAAGAGAGCAATACTACAAGATGACGAAAAAATTAGCAAGTAGTTACTGAAAAGCAAAAGCCACTTCCATCAATGTGCCTAACATATTCCTGTAAGGCACTCCCATTAATAATTTGAGTAGAACTATGTTCTAAATTGAATGAATGCTCCGATTTTAAAACATGTTTGATTAGAACTTTTAAAAATATAATCATCTCACAGATTCATTTATGGCTCTAATTTAATCATTTGAGGATGAATTTTAATTTGATTAAAACACCTTACCCTAGTTGAACTATTCCAGTTCCCTACCATATGATGCCCATTTAATCACTTCTGAGCATTTCAAAATCATCCCAACCTTCTATTAGCTTCTCCTCACAGCTTAACATGCCCCAGCATCCACAAAACTATTTCGAAAAAAGAAATAGTGAACATCAATGGAAAGAATTTGAAAATGACCACAACGAAAAAAATCATTCCACGCCCATAAAATTCAGCCATGGGAAAAAGGCAAAGCAGGCTATTCTTTAAGAAAAGACTAACAAAGGGAAGTATTTATAAACAAGTATGATTAAAGCAAAGTAGAGAAAGTTTAAACAGCTAACAGGATGGGAGAAAAAAAAAATTGGAAGAATTCATAAACTGGTTTAAATGGTTGTAACAAAGCCATATTAAATATTCCGGAGTTAGGAGCAGATCAATATGATGCAATTTGTTACGAAGTGCAATGTGCTAAATTTATGCAACATTTCATGATATCAGCAAAAATAAAAGCCTCACAGTTAAACCATATCCTAAGTGATCAAATAAGAAAGGCTCAAGGCTCGCTATGCTATATAATAAATCATGATGCTAGAGTTCCTGTGCGTCTTTCAGACTGGGTGGAATTTTTGCAGTGATTTTAATTAACAAAAAAATGGAAAGTCTAGCTTAGAGACAGCTTAGAGACTGGGATTAGATATCAAGAATGATCGAAAACTCATAAGTATAACGCTTTTAAGGAAATCAGTGCCGAATAAACTTGATGGTCAAGCATTTCTAAAAGTAAAATCATGGAGGCAATTAATATTATACCATCTTGGTCAATAACTGAATTTGAAAAAAACAAATAATTAATGTGATTGGAAGCTAGTTTTCAAGGATGCATATGCAATAAGCATTATTAGGAGGCATCCACAGTGGGCACCGAGCACCAGAAACAAAATATGTCCAATGCGTATTTTTGGTTAACTGCCTATCAACTTAGTCAGTAGCAAGACAAAAATTAAGGTTGTTTGCAATTTGATCACAGGACAATCCAAACCCAGCTAGAAATCATATGATCTAATATCAAGTCGAACCAAATGAAGTGTTGACCTCGATAGTAGCTCAAGCATCAAGTCAACCACGCACGGAGAAAAAGATTACTGAAGAAGGCGATGTTGCACAAAAAATGCCAAAAACATGTTGACCAAAAGTCAAAATCACCGAAAGGGCATTTGTTCACAAAATGGATAGCACAGACGCATTCGAGATAGCTAAAACAACTAAGATTGACACCCATATAGGTCGAGGTTTTCTATCCATAAAAATTAAAATTTTTTACATGTCAAACAAGACAAAATTTGACACACACGAGGGGCTAAATCTCAGCGAGCAAATCAACGTGCATATTTATCTATTAAAATTTATTTTTTAAAATATAATATATATATATATATATATATATATAAAATAAGGTTTGAAAATGAGAACTCCAATAGGTGTCACCAGCGCACTGCAAATTAGTTTCTTGGTTCAAAACTCACCCACTAATTAACTCCCCAATGTTAGATGAAAAATTATTTTATTACGCTGAATTACTTTCAGAATATCATTCCTTTTGCATGAAGCTCTAACAGTATTTAGAATTCTTGAAGTAATCTCAAACAAATGCTTTACTTGCCAATGATTATTTGTTACAGCCACCAGAGATAGTTAGAGTTGATGAGTAAAACAATGAATCTAGAATGTCTGAGAATTATCTTTTAGTATAAGTGCTTTCAAATCATTAAACTCCCCTCGCATATTAGATGCTCCATCGTAACCTTAGCCAAGTATTCTATGTGTGCTTAATGAATATTTTACAAGAAGAGCTTTAATATATGTCTTCAGTGATACTGCATTTGTTGAATAAACATAACTAATACCTATGAACATCTCAATTACTTGGCCCAACTGCTGACCCGTGTAACGGAAAAAAGAAAAGAAAAGAAAAAATTTTAAATCACTTACCTGCTCTCTGCCGAAGCCATCCCACACGTCGCACGTCGAGGCCACGCCGATGTCGCTTCTTCACACGACCCGCTTGCGTCGATAAAAAGGCAATGGATCGAGGCCTTTAGCCTCCCCTCTCACTCCCGCTCTGATCTCTGGCTCCTCTCCCTCGCTCCCGCTCTTTCCCTCTGTCGTCGCTACTCGGCTTCGCTCCTTCTGCAACTTCCCTTCCAGTCGAGTAGGAAGTTACAACATTTTGACGGAAGCTCGCGACTGTGAAGATAACTCCCCCCCCCTCCTTCGCGTTGATTTTCCGGCTCTTCGTGGTTGTGCGACTTTGCTCCAACGACGACTTCCCCTTCCCTGTCGAATCGGAAGTTTGACACTTTGATTGGAAGCGGGACAGAAGCCCGCTCGCTGCGACAGTGACCTTCTCCATTTCGCATGCTTCCTCGGTCCCCTCTTGGCTGGACGATTTCGCTCCTCTGACGCCGTTCCTTCCTGTTCGAACGAAAGTTACGACATTTTGATCCGAAGTAGGGACAGGAGCTCGATAGCCGTGAGGGTACCTTTCTTCCCTTCTGAGCGCTCCTTCGTGCCGTTCGATTTCGCTCCTTCCACGACTTCCCATCTGTTCGAATCGAAAGTTTAACATTTTGATCGGAAGCTACAACTGGAGCTCGTTAACTGTGAAGGTAGCTTCCCCCTTTCAGCGCGCTTCCTTGGCCTAATCCCGTGAATCCCCAAACCAGAAAGAATAGTGGGGGAGGGGGATTTTTATTATTTTATTATTAGTAGTATTATATTTGTTGTTATTATTGTTATTTCAAAAAAAAAAGAAAAAAAGAGAGAAAAAAGAAAAAGAAAATCCCTCTCTTACCTCGGCGTTTGTGTCGAGCCGACAAACCACCCATGCACGCTTTTCTCTAGTATGGCGGGAGGGAACCCAGTCCGATACCTACGACGAGGCAGGTAAGCCTGGTGCACGCTTTTCTTAGCATGGACGGGACAACTTTTAAGTGCCCGTATGCGACTCTGTACCTGTGGGGAAACAACTGCTTCTCTTGTAACAGGTACTGAAGAGTGAAGACTCATACATGCCTTTCTCTGGCGTGGTGGAGACAAAGATTTTACGATCGCGATGTCCTCGTCCGAGAGCACCTACCATGCACGCTCTTCTCTAGCGTGGCGGGAGGCCTAGTTTTCCGTAATTTTCTTCTAAACGGGGGCGACGCCGAGAGGCTGCCGAAATTTCGGGTAAACATACGATCATACTCGGACCTGATTTGAACTCAAAAGAAAAAGAACTTGGACTCAAATGAGTATGAACAGTGGACTTGTGAACTTGAAACCGAGCATAACTCAAATGACTAATAATAAATGCTTGAACTTAGTGAAATTGAAAAGCCTATGTTTGCACTTGAATGAGTTAAACTTGAATTTGGACCCATACTTGAGCAAATACAAAAGCTCCAACTCAAACTAAATATCAATTCCAAGTATAACTAGCTTGAGAAATAAACAAGAGTTTCTACCTGTAAGCTATGGCACAAGATCTCCAATGAATGTCAAAGAACCATCATGATGATGGACATGCAAGAACCATTAAGTGACATGCCCACAAGCAGCAACAATTCAATGTCAAACAAATGAAGTCATGACAGTCAATATGCAACATGAAATGTTCACAAGTAGAGGCAGGCGACGTATAACAAGTGCAAATGCCTATGGACATTTGTAGAAGACTCACTGCACATACAACATCTAATTTACAAGGAGGATGCAAAGAGTCCACCACAAGTGTTAAGATGCTTATACATCATGTCATAAGGCAGCGGAAAATAGATGCATCTGTCTTCTAGCCGAGGAGATTTTGATATATAACAAGTGTAAGTACCTACAATCCTTTGTAGGAGGCCTGTCGTACGTTCGACACGTGTTTGTGAACAAATGTGAAGGATTTTCAATACATCACAAACATGTATAAGCATGATGTAATAGATTCCTATGACAATCCCTACAAGATTGAGATAACAACACTATCAATTGGTGAGGAAGATCCGTCCTTGCAAACAAATACATCAAACCACCTGAGATTGATGAAAGGTGGATATGATGTAGGAACAATGGCTCTTCTACGAATATTTCCAGGAGGTCGTAGTGGATACAGCGGTCCCCCGTAAATATACATGAGCCACTTGTGGATAACAACAGTGAGTATATCGTAAGCACAACGAAACACTGTGGACACAAGTACAGATATCACCTACAACGGTGGTGATTGAGATTTGTGAGTACGTCGGGTATGAAGACAACTCAATGTACGAAAAAAGGACAGCTCCCTGCAGAATGAAAGAAATGTTTGAACAAATTCGAACTAAACTTCCTGGTGTTCCAAAATTTCTTCTTGATTTTATACTTTGGAAGAAAACAGTTCTGGCACTTGTGAACACTGGAAATAACAAGTCCACCCAAATACCTCTATCCACTTCAAAGACCAATTATTTGATTATAGACGGTACATCCTATAGAAGTCCGATACACTAAAGAGCTTGAAAGGAGTTCCTTTCAAAGCAGTGACCATGGATTTCTAGAAAGACCTCCCGGTGAACGAGAAAGGGGAGTCAACATCAAGATGATGAGATGCCTCATGACATCCAGATAATACCGCCACCGGATCCGTAACACTCGTATTAGCGGACAGAAGGCATATATAAGCTCTCAAATGAAATGTTGTGCGTATTCAAATGGCAATTATCTGCACAACTAAAATATTTAAAAGTACCCCTGCACATGCATCGTAGTTTGTATACACATACGTACACAAGGGGTATGTCCAATCAATGAAATTCTCAAACATCCTCATGGGCCCCGGCGAGCGTATTATTGGTACACACGTGACGTCTAGGGATGCTGTGTGGATCAATAAGTGAATTCAAGTTCGAACATGATCCTTCTATGTAGATCAATAGGAGTTGACAGGGTTCGAACCCTCAAATAAATACACGGTTGTGGTGACCGATGTATTTATTATAATACATTCATATTAGGCCTTCAGGGCCTATAATCAAGAGAATTCACTAATAAAGGCATAAAGCCTACGCAACCCGATCCTCCTAAGCAGGTAAATAGGAGTAGACAGGGTTTAAACCATCGAATAAATATTGTCACAAAGTTGACCGGAATATTTATTTTATACATTCATATAAGGCCTTCAAGCCTTTAAGAAAGAAAATTCACAGATAAAGGCATGAAGCCCGAGAAACCCAATTCTCGGTTGACAGCTCAACAGAGTTGACAAGGTTCATCCACAAAATAGAAATATTTTCAAATAGAAATGACCTCCTAAACCCCGATGATGACCGTGTTAAATGCAAATCTCAACCGGAGGGGTTCACAAATATTTCAAAATGCCACCCAAATGCCCAAAAATCTAAAAATCTCAAAATCTCAAAAATATTTAAAATTGAAATAAATCCATCAACACTTAAAGCAAAATTCATCCACCCTCCGCAACAGTTTGCCGATGTGGACAAATTCAAATATAACTTCAGCTCACATAGAGCCAAATGTATAGTAAATATCACTAGGATTCATTATCAAATAATCTCCTATTAATAAGGATGTGGTATGTGTCTTCTAAACGGCAGTTTTGCCGCCAAATGGCACCACAAAATAAACAATTATGACCCGGGGCCCTCTGAACCGAGTGGTTTTGCCGTCAAATGGCACCACGAAATACCGGTTATGGCCATAGCCAATACACTCCTTAGTGGCATCAAATCCTTGAGATATGAATCAATAGGATATAATTGATAGGGCACAAAGCCCTCTGTTAGCTAAAATGGATTCAAATTTATCCCCTTAGGCAAATACCCACCTCAGGTCTATAAGGTACCCTTGGACGAAGCAACCCATGGCTGCCGACAAGGATCATTCTATCAGGTTAGGTCGACTACCTCCTCTGACTAAGTAGACCAGGGACCATAATGGCCCGGGGCGACGGAACCATGGGATCTTGATCGGGTCTATCATTCATTCCCTCACCATCTGCTTTAAGTGCAACATGGTGAAATTTCTACTTATAAATATCAAATCTTTAAATCCTCCCAATACCCATACCCATGCTGCTACTATATGCCGAATACCGCATATCTACGGATATGATGAATTCATTGACGACTAGCCTTAATCGAAAGTTCTCTCTCGTTATCGAGAGGGGTAATTAACTATAGGGGCTTGCGCCTACAAGGAACCAAAACTCAGATCATAAAGTCCTCACAATATGATGGCGAAATCTCTGGGTAGTGTCTTATCTACAAACTCATCTGTCTTCCCAAAATTTATCCTGGAACTTAATATATTAAAACTCCCCCCGAATAAAAAAAGAAAAGCAATCAGTCGGGCGGAGGCCGGGGCCGAATTTTCGAAGCCCACACCAACTTGTTTACACACCTCAATGCAATAATTAATTATTTTTTTGTGGACATATAATGAGACTCATCAACTAGAATGGTAAAATAGGAATCACAAATATCATTTATGATTGAAGAAAAGGTCTCAGTGGCCATAGAACTACAAATCTCTTTTTGAACTTTTAGTGAAGTTAATTTTAACTTAGCACTTGCATGTTCAAATGTTACTTTTCTGACTTCTTTATGATTTGCAAGAATTGAAATAATTTTATATAATTCCCTTGCTTATTTGAACTAGATGATTCATCACGCCCACGGAATGATAGGCCATGAAGGATAAGAAATTAAACACAATCAACAGTTGCGGTCAACATAATACGATATTCTTTTTTGTTTTTCTCATACTTGCTAAGCCATAAAGCAGGAATACTCTACTCTTGATGCTTCATTAAAGTCTCACATTTATGTCTTGTCTTGTCTTGTGCATTATTATATTCTACTACATGGCCCATAAAATTTTCTCTTCTCTTCCAATTCTTAAATCTCTCACCAACAAACGAATCTCCACCACCTTGGCCTGTCAAAATTTGCTCTTGAGACTTAAACAAGTAGCAAAGAAGACAAAATACAACATCTTTTAGCACACAATTTTTCATCCAATCAGAAAATTCTTCAAACCATTTTGAGTTAAATCTACGCGCAATATTTCCAATCATTGTTTGAGGAAATGATATTTTTTTTTGTTGACAGCCTCTTTAACAAATAAGCTTTGCAAACTTTATCTCTCTCATTCACATCATAACTCCAGATTGATGGTTGAAGACCATGATCAACATGGAGATTATTACTATCAATCTCAACATGTTCTTTCCTCTTCAAAAATCATTCCATTTGTAAAAAACCTAATGACAACAACAAAAACACAACAATAATAATCCATACATACAAGAAAAGACACCAAATTCAATATGACAATTTTAATATTGTGAAATTTCAATGTTTATCCTTCTATTTAATCAACAAAGGTGACACAAATGATGCCCATTCTCAGGCGCCCAATAACTAGACATGACAGCTTTAAAATTAAATTAATACAAGACATCTGATGATATATGATACTATCCTTCAATAGAAACTGAAACCAATGTTTCAATTAATGTTATTCATTGACCCGGATTAATCTTATATTTTATCGTATATTCACTTTTATTCGAAACAATCCAATCACAACACTCAGCTCTCTTTTTAATTGAATATTATAAGTTCTCCCTTGCATATGACAGCCTTGTTGTTGCTCATTTTTACGTATTTATGGATGACACTAATGGGTTTCTTTGTGCATGTTGACTTAGAGGTGTAAACAAATCAAATCAAGCTCGAGTCAATCCTATCTTGAGCTTGATTAACTAATAGAGTTTGAGCTTGAGCCCAAGCTCAATTCTATGAGTTCGAGTCGGCTCACAAGCCAGCTTGTTTATTATGAAAAAGGGAAAATAATTATGATTCAGGCACTTATTATGACAAAATTTCAAGAAGAATGAGAAATTATAAGAGAAATAATAAATAATCACTTTATATAAAAAGTGATGCATAATTTTTAAATATTTTTAATAGATTTATACTTAAACTCACGAAGTCTAATATATTTTAAATGTATTTCACATTAATATTTTTAAATAAGCTAGCTCACAATAACAAGTTGAGTCGTGGTTGGCTTACATTTGGCCTGTTAGCTCATCTAACTTAGCTCATGAGCTATTTATAGAGTCAAGCTCAAGTCAGTTCATGAGTTGGCTTGACTCACTTATGTGGTACTTACCTTATATAGTTTGGAACAATCTATTGAATTTAGTGCCAACCCCTTCACATAAGTTATTATCGAAAAAGAATATTCATTTTGAAGTTATTGAGAGTTCAAAGGGTCACATCTACAACAGGTAAATTACAAAGGTATTTGTGATAAGAAAGTATATGTATGTTATGAGATCATGAGATTTCTACTGTTTTCTTGATTAGTTTATGATCAAACTACGAGAATTTAGAACTTTTTTATTAACTGATCATGGATTAAATAGCTATATTTTCATTTTATTTTGTGGAAATGATTGTTTAGATGTTATTTGGATTTAGATATAGTAGCTCAGATGCATGCTTCGACTTTATTGTAATGTATTGTTCAAGAGCGGATGATCCATAAATAATTGTAAATTGGAAAAGGTCGCTGGATTTAGTCATCTTGTTGAAATTGTTTAGGGTGGAGCAAAATGTGAATCTTGTCAGATTAATCTTCCTGATTGGGTAGTATGTAGTTATGTACTCTTACTAAGCATCAGTATATTAGCAAAAAACAGAATATCTAGTAACAAAACACAAATATAAGAAGAAGAATGCAATTTATGAATGGTAGATAAATACCTGCAGATGGCAACAGTCACCGTGTATGATGTGTGAGCAACAAAATTCAAATAGAATGAACGCCTCCAATCAACATGTATAGGATCATCACCAAGGACTTTTTCTAACTGATGGCAAGAACATTTCAAGAAATTTTATATCAGTAACAGGAACCTAAATCACAAGACATTAATATCTCTAGGCGGTTCACAGTCCCAGAAAAGATGACGACAAAAAGCGACACAGAAAAATCAAATCAAGTATAAAAGATGATTCTCATGTACAAGGTCGTTCCCAGCCATATATTCAACTGAGCTGACAACCAAGCTTTGCAAATATTTACATAGGTTATTCAGCCTCGTAGAAGGACTCCAAGGAAATTAGTACAGAAAACGTAATAGTTCATGCTAAAATGGTGAAGTTTCATGGAAATCTATAATAAATAAGATTCACGCCATGCTAATAAAAGAGGAAGCCGCCTGATGATATTCTTTAAGAAAATAGGCAGATCAAATAAGAAAGACATTAAATATACCTTGGGAGCCAATCTACGGACAAAAAAAGGAGCTTCGCTCTCCAAATCACCTTTGAAACTATATCCATTCAGGCCCTGCAAATAAAAGTCCAATATTTTAATGCTTCATTTTATTAGGGGTTATAGAAGGGGAGAATTAGAAAGAGAGGGAGAGAAAGCGAGGAAGTGAAGGTATGGAGAAGATGAAAGGGGGCAGGGAAGGTGGCTGGCAGAGGAAGTGGAAGAGAGATGGGAAATGAAATGCGTAAAAAAAGGTGAAGGGTAGAGAGATGGAAAATGACATACAAAAAGAAAGCAAAGGGTTAAGAGGGTTGAAGAGGAAGGGAAAGGAGAAGTAGACATGCGTACTAAGGGGCTGTTTGGTTAAAAGTTCTAGGACAATCTTATGCTCCATTTACCTACATTTTATCTTTCCTGGTGTTTAGTTTAAAGTAAAATAAAATGCAAAATAAAATTTTGAGGGAGAAAAACCACGAACACACCATCTTTCCTATATTTGAAAATCGATCAAATCATCAAATTTCAATATCTCATGCCTTACTCCTCCAAAGCCCCCCATCTCTCATCACTTGCAACAATCCCTAAGCTGCTCTCATTGTCAGAGCCTCTCATAAGCCCCTCCCACCACCACAAACCTCCACCAAACAACTACTATTGCTCTCAACCTCACCCAAGTCCCTCCACATCATGCCAGCCTCACCTATTCTCGTTGCCTCCCTCCCCTCTACCTCCCTCCTCCCCCCCCCCCCCCCCCCCCCCCCCATTAAAGCCCCCCCCCCCCCCCCCCCCACACCAAAAGCCCTCCTGTAGTATGTATTTATGCATGCATATATGTATTCAAATGGTATATTAGCAAGCACAACAACAACAAGCATTTACTCCATTACGTGAGGTTGGCTACATGAATCTTTTTTCTCTATAGTGTCTTACTAAGAGCCAAAATCTCAATTAAATTCAATAAAAAAAATATCATCTTTAATACTTTCAAACCAATTCTTTTAAGGATTACCTCTACCTTTCTTAACATTGCCAAGATCTAATACATCTACTTTCCTAATATGGTCATCAGAATGCCAACATTTTATAAGACCAAACCATCTAAAGTGATTCTCTCTAATCTTATCTACCACAGGAGCTACTCCAACCTTTTCACGTATATACTCATTTCGCATTTTGTCTCCAAATGCAGCACCACTCATCCACTTGAGCATCATCATCTCTGCAAAACTTATCTTAATTTTATGCTTCTCTTTTAATGGCCTACATTCTGCGTCTCTTTTAATTTTATGCTTCTCTTTTAAAGGCCAACATTCATCGTAAAGCATTGGATGTCGCCACCATCTAATAAAATTTTTCTTTATGTTTGAGGGTTATTTTTCTATCACACAATAGGCCTGATGCATTCATACACTTCAACCATCTAACTATAACTCTACTAACAATAACCCCATCTATTTCACCATTGCTTTGAATAATAGACCCGAGATATCTAAGATGCACACTCTTTTTAATGACTTGATCAGCAAATATCTCTATCCCACCACTATATCTATTAACTACTAAAATTACAGTACAAAAAAATTAAATAAGCACAAAAAAATGCAATGCATTTAATTTGTATCCAACCAAACCATTGCATTTCTAAAATGCGTTCATTTTAAAAACATAAAACCAAACAGCCCCTAAGGTACTTTCATTTACATTACCATGTTTCTAACAAAAAAGATGAGGTCATCCATCTGCCTTTCTTCTGATGTAGTACCACGAACAAAGTACATATCAACTAGTTTGTACCAAAACCTTTCATCCATTTCAGCATCAGAAGCATCTTGTTCTTCTAATGTTGTTTCTGACAATTTGGAGTATTTTCTCACCATACTCAATATTTCGTACCTAGTTGGGAAATAGAATGCATGATGAAAGAGACAAAATTTATGAGTATTATCCTTTCCATAACCACAAAAAGAAAATTCTAGAAAATAGCAACCATAAGTTAAATAATACCAAGCAAATTCATGTGAAGACACCAAAAAAATTGTATGAGTATGTTGGAGATAGCAATGATTTGCAATGCATTGAAAAACAAAAGGCAAAAAAAATTACATCTTTGCAGTCATCAACATGCGTGGTTATAATAAGGAATATATGGGCAAATAGATGTATATTATGATATGACATGGGCATACAAAGAGTTTTCAAAAAGTATGATAATTATAGGCAACGAAATATATGAGTTTGGACATGTACTGAGTGAGAGAGGTATGCATATAACCATCAAGATCATGATCAATATATTAACCTTATTCCAGCCAAAAGATTGGACAATATATCATATGCTAAGACACCCAATTTTGTGCACTTGAAGCATTGTACTGTTTTTGTAAGTCTCAAATGGTGTACACCTAACTGGCAGATTATCTAACATTTATTAATGGCTGGTGTGTCCATAAATTATTAAAATGAGCACAGCATTCCTGGAAAATTTTCTACTCTTCATAGCCAATAAGCTTCCAAGAACAAGTGAGGGTGTAATTACTTGCAAATTAGCATGATAATCAAATCAACATAGCCTTGGTCTTCCACAATTTTATAATGCCAGATATTGTACTTCATTTTTTCCAGTTCTAACTTCAGGTTTAGCATAATATGAGCCAGAAATGCACGCATTGCAGAATATCCCACATAGATAGACATATATTCACAGAAAAGATTGCCACAGCTCGGTTAAAATGCTCTAAAATCTTAAATAGTACCTTCTTGGTAACAATATCCACGTTATGCTAACAGAAGGAAGCCAAATTATTAAATTAGGCAGTATATCTTACCATGGATTGGTTCCCCTGCATCAAAGAGGTGTATCTCTCCTCAGTCAATAATGATTAGGTTACAGGTTTCAATGCCAGGATTCACTCATGCCCAGTCTTTTACTATTCCATGGTTTAACAACAGAAATGGAAACTTGACACGTTATAATATTAAGGAAATATATGTAAACTTCTTGACAAAAATTATCAGACTCTAGGCATGTCATGCCAATCAAACGATTCCAGTTGTGCTAAAGAAAGGTATCATCCCGAATCCATCAAAGGCTACAGCCCTAGTTCCAGAATCCAAAAATTATGGAAAGGGGCATTCCTTTCAAAATCATCAAATGCACAAAGCCATGAATCACCAAACAGCAGCCTCTATTTGCTTACTAACGCATTGGATCACCAAGAAACACAGAATTTGTCAGTCAGACTTGTTTACAGACTAGAAGGAAAAATTAATGAGTACCTAGACGGCATCTCTTCATCGCGGATTTCAGATGAAATCTGTATCTCCCTTTCATCCATCACCTGAGCATTTCAATGCCCACCGAACTGACACTAAGAAACTTGAGTAAACAAGAAGCCAATCACTTCAAATAATTAGGGTTTCATGAGCTGTTGGCCTCGAATCGACAGGCCCGCGTGGTGGCTTTTGGAAGGGAGGACGAGGAGACGAAAGCGTAAACTATCGGTGAGTTTGAAGAAAGGAAACGCCGGGCCGTCTGGCACATTGCGTGGATATGTAGCGCTCCAGATGTCCGCGCGAGGTGCCTGACCAGCGCCAGCTGTTCGATGAAATGTCTCGCGTGAAACGGCCTGCTCAGCGGTACACGATATTGACATGATAGATCACGTGTGACACGTTTGATTTAGAGTCATAACCACAAGAAGTTTGAGCTGCTTGCAGTTCAAGAATTCTAATAACATCTCATAATTAGCGATTCCCTTGTCTTTGGACTCTATTAAAAATTAAAAGCTTCCATCTTCCTAGCAAACCACGCGTACCATAAAATGTAGGAAAGATTTGTAGAGATGATTTGAAATATCCTCAAATAAGCATGAATTTGATGACTTTGAAATATTTATTTATGAATATGAAATCATAGCAAGCCAAGTTTGCAAACTTGCGAACCCGGTGTTGGCCTTGAACTCGATAACTCAATAGCTAAGTCATGATCGTGAACTCGCTCAAAATTCAAACATCGAGCATTGACAATAGCCAACTCATAGTCACTAGTTGACAAATTAAATAACCACCCTCGCATAGAAAGGTGATTACAATTTAAAGCATATTTTCTTATAAACAGTATACACAATGCCCAAAAGATAAATGATGCAAATCCATAAAAATTTATTATATATTCCTTATAATCCCAAATCTTGGGCCTCCCAAAAAGTGGTCCAAGGGAGGGCAAATGGGACAGATGATTGATATATGTATTCCATACATTTTGATAAATTAAAAAAAAAATAATCTCAACCTCTCTCTCTCTCTCTCTCTCTCTCTCTCTCTCTCTCTCTCTCTCTCAACAAAGTCTTCTGAGTAATGTTCAGGTGTTAGCCGCTGAAAAAATTGGATTCAACATTATATAAGGTATTTACTATATGTCAATATATGGCTTACGGGTCTAGTCCTAGACAAGTCGTATATATTTGAGGCATCACAGCAAAATAAGTTTGCCACAACTCATCGACCCAGCATTGGCCACTGATACATCACAAAAAATAGACTTGGTCTAACAGGAATCTCGATATAAATCTCTAATGGAAACTTCTAAATTAAAATTCTAGATTGTCTAAACTTCAATTTCAACAAGCTTAAATCAAATTAAACATCTGAAGGGAACGAACCCCACGACATCAAATTTGATTCAATCGAGCTCAGATGATCTAAAATCAAAAGACTAAAGCCTACTTGAAAGCTTCAAAGTATTAATTGAATAACCAATGATATCCAAATATGACATACTTATAATTAAATCGAGAGGCTCGACAAGAATATTCCAGTGAGTTCATGATCACTCAATTCTGACATTTGTAGGGCATTTAAATGTTTGATAAATGCTCCATGATCAAGGGGATCACTATATATGACTTGTTCGATAGAACACTTCAAAATTTTCCATAGATCTTCTACATATTACATCATTTCAATTTTCTGGTTGTGAGATAAATTTTAATGTATCACTAAGATGTAAAATCCTTTCACTTTACTGCTGCGAATTTCTCAGCTCGCAATAACCACAAACATGCCAATTTGCTAGCTCAACAAAAACCACAAACTTGCTAGCTCACAAAAAGAGCTAGCTAAGTCCAACTTGGATCATGGCTAGCCTGAAATTCAGGCATTTTGCACTGATAACAAAAACTTCAAAAGTCTTTGCCAAATTAATGAAATAATTTCCATGGAATAAGAACATGACATTACTTTGACCTCAATTCAATATGGCTAGTGACACATAATCTTTTGTAATCCGTCATTTATTTAAACCATATTATAATGTGATACACAAGTCCTAAAGGATAAATGATGTAAAACCATAAAAACTTATTATGCATTACATATAAAGCCAAATCCCAGATCTATAAAATGAGGTTTAAGGGAGGGCAAAGGGTATGAATGATTGGGAACCAAATTTTGTGTTGTTGGATAAGTATAAAAAAATATTATTAGCCTTTCTCTCTCTCTCTCTCAAAAGACTTGTAACTTCCTAGTGTCACGCATGGATAAATTTTAATCAGTATCCTATAACACTAAATGTATGTCAATATACAACCTACAAGACTAGTTCAATGCAAGCCGCATGGAACTAAGATATCATAGAATGACAAGTTTGCCAACAATCACTGACCTAATAGTGGTTGCAAACTAGCCAATTCACAAACTTCACAATGAACACAAACATATCATCTTGTCCAAAGAGCTTGTTTAGGGTGTTTAGGGGCCATCTAGTTGAAGGACTCGCCTGGGGCCTATTTGGCCAAAAGGAATGCCCGAAATTCAAACATTTAACATTGACAATAGACAAGCTATAGTCTCTACCAAATTAACGAAATAACCATAATAACATATAATAACATATAAAGATGATATTATGCATAAATGTAATCTAGCCAGCTAACAACACATAATCCACCATAATAATCACCTAGAATTTATGGTGCTTTGACTTATAAATAAGATAAATGCCTCCCAAAAGATAAATATACAAAACCATTAAGACTTACCATTTATTCCTTTTAAGGAAAATAATGGGTCTATAAAAAGATGAGCAAGATAGGAAAGAAGGCGAATGGTTGTGATCTATATTTTGTACTATTGGATGAATATTAAAAAAATATATATATCTTTGCCCCTCTCTCTCTCTCTCCCTCTCTCTCTCTCTTTGCACAAGCATGGAAAGGAAAGAGGCCTTCAGGGAGAAAGCTCCTCCTCAGTGTTCGTAGAAGAGGCACAAATTCACTCGCATAGATATTTTAGAGTGTTAGATGTATAAATATAAAAAATTAAAATGATATGAATAAAATTCCTCAAAAAACTTATAATTTTTATAGTAAAATGATATTTAAGCACCGTATAATTTAACTCGTGTTGTTCATAATTTAAAATTTTATATGTTTTTAATAGTGAAGACATATATATAGAAAAAAATCAAGCTTAACTTAATTGATTAATAAATGAGTTAAACTTGAATGATTATTGAACAAAACATAAAATATTAAGAAACCTTCATTTACTTCCCTATATGATATGTTGTTCTTATTTTTTAATTATGTAGTAGGCACTACATCAGCATTATTAGTGCTAACTGAGGGAGAGTTAATGTACGTCCTTTCGGAGATATACAAATATTCCATCATTGCTAACAACATTTGTTGCGTGCTAGAATATACGCGGCGGTAGAGTTTGTAAATTTACGTCCTAGCGTTGTACTAGTATTCAGCACACAAACAGAAAAGAGAATGAACACCAGGGTTTTTACGTGGAAACCCCAAAAAGGGAAAAACCACGGGGCCACGCTCAGTTGTAAAGTTCCACTAGTGTTTTTGCATATTATCACTACAGGAAAATCACCCACTTCCGGCGGCTTTTTCCGGCGGAAGATTTGAGGCATCACACCAAGATAAGTTTGCCACACCTCATCGACCCAGCATTGACCACTTATACGTCACAAAAAATCATCTTGGTCTAACACGAATCTCAATGTAAATCTGTAATGGAAACTTTTAAATTAAAATTAGAGATCGTCTCTAAACTTCAGCTTTAGTAAGCTTAATCCAAATTAAACATCTTAAGGGGACGAATCCAACTACATCAAATTTGATTCAATCGAGCTCAAATGATCCAAAATCAAAAGACCAAAGCCTACTTGAAAGCTTCAAAGTATTAATTAAATGACCAAATGATATTCAAATATGACATACTTATAATCGAATCAAGAGGCTTGACGAGAAAAATCCAACGAACTCATGATCACTCAATTCAAACATTTGTAGAGCAATTAAATGTTTGATAAATGCGCCATGATCTAGGGGATCACTATATATGAGTTGTTAGATGGAACAATTCAAAATTGTCCTAGATCTTCTCCGTATTTACTAGGCATGTAACTCCTAAAAAATTACAAATAGACCCTTCATTCTTCACATAAGAGGGGGGAGGAGGAGGAGAGGAGAAAGGAGAGTTCTCTAGCTTTTTCCAGCTATGGATGTTGCGGACGACCATCAATTAGTGTCATCGATGACCACCCATTATTATCGCTAAAATCCACCATCATTATTAAAGATCAAAAGATCAAACCCTGATTTTGGGTATAAAAGTCTATATATAGACATCTTTAATACCAATTGGGAAGATCAAAACCTATTGTTGGGTATAAAAATCAATATGTGAACATCCATAATCTCTATTAGAGAAATCAAACATTGTTGTTGGTTATTAATTGTCATTTTTTAATTTCTATACTCTCCTTCTGCTTCAATAGTAAAAAAAAAGAATATATTTATATCACTTGCTATCTAGCAGATTTTGCAACTAGGACAAAGCTCATGGTTTTCCCTTTTTTAGGTTTCTCCACATAAAAACTCTAGTATTTCTTTATAATTTCAATTTTCTGTCTGTACAATAAATTTTAATGCATCACTAAGATGTAAAATCCTTTCACTTTAATGTTACGAATTTCTAAGCCCGTAATAACCACAAACATGTCTGCTAGCTCAACAAAAACCACGAACTTGCCAGCTCACTAAAAGAGCTTGCTACGTCCAACTTGGATCATACCTGGTGTGAGACCTCGTTCCCTTACTGTTCCTCTCTGATTTGGATTTTCCTCCCAGGATCGTCCGGGCCAATTTTAGATCATCCAGGCCGATCGGCACTGTAGAAAATATCGGCCTGAAACAAGTTCTGGGAACCGTCCAGGACGATCTGGACGATCAGATTTTGGTCTGATCGTCCCGGGACGATTTGACGATCGGCCGGGCCGATCAGCTTTATGATATAAGAAAATCAAGTCGTTTTGAGGAGAGAGAAAATCATTTTAAATAAAAATATCTGATTTTAGAGAGAGAAAGAGAAAAGGGAAAAAGAGGAATCTTGGGTTTTGGAGGCCGCGGAGCGCTTTTCGTCCGACGCTGCTGTTGGAAAAAGTGAAGATCTCGTGGTAAGGACTCCGAACCCTATTTCTGTTGTCAAAGATATTGTGTTTTGACCGAGTTGCGATCTGTTTTGTGTTTTCGTAGTCGACTTTTCGACGTGATTTCTTATTGACACAACTTTCACCGCACAACTTTTAGTATGTTATAGA